TCTGAAGTTTCATTGGTGGTAGTCTCCAGGGTCACTGATGAGGAATGGAATTCTCCGAAACTAGTCTGGTTCACAGACACACCCCCAATGAGAAAATAGACAATTCCAAGCTTTTACTTGTTGTTAAACAAATGTTTAAACAATTCTGTTCAACTATAATAATATGTTATATTATATATAAATTGTGTGAAAGTTAGAATTTTTCTGTTATTTATCATAGCATTCAACCCCTCTCTCACACACACGTACACACACACATTTTTTGTTTTAAGTTCATAACCCGGACAAGGGTTTCCAGCATCATGGTCAAGCTAATTACAATAATCAGTAAAAACTAAATGTGAAGCCTAATCTATCAATCTATAGTATAAATATATTTATACTGTGGTCAGTAAAAGACATCTCGGAATAACATTACTGAGTATACTTTTTGAAAACTTGTTAAATTTGTATGGTTTAAACACCTACAGCTGATAGGCCTAAAATTTGTTTTAAAAATAACGTAAACTGCAGAAGTTTTTCTCCACAGTAATGTATAGTAATGTAGATGTTAGAACCAGAAGCTAAAGTTCTGTGTTTTGTTCCATTATGTATAACATGCTGCCACTTTTGTACCTCTTTTTTCAGTGCAATGGAGTGGAGGGACACGCCTTGATCAACACGGGAGCAATGGTATCATTAATATCAATGAACATGGTGAAAAAGCTTAGGTTAGTGTGTTCTTACTGAGAAGCAGTCGCTACAAAAGCACTGTTTTATTTATCACAATATACGTGAAAATATCAGTACTATTTCATGACCTAACTAATAAAACTGAACACAATAGGAGCACAGCGTTTTATCATTTTATGTATAGTAGTTCTGGAATCTAAATGGTCATGGATATTCCTCTAACTTTTTGCATTAAATATATAATCGTTAAACGTTTTTAAGAGATAAAGAAAGAAAAATCAGTAAGTCGACTTTATTTGGTCTGTCAGTCTGTTGGAGTGACAAATATCATCATTATTTGAATGTACTTTTCTTCCGTTAATATGTTTTATAGATCGAACAATGACGGGCAACAAGTATTGTTAAACTCCAGAACTGAGAAACCTGCTGCCAGTTTCCAAGTGTAAGATCCAGGTACTTAACTTTCCCTATAACGTCAGGATGCGGGAGGCCCAGAGAATTACACACAGAGGTTGTGTCTGGAATGTAGGTAAGAACTGTTCAGTACTCATTGTTTAGTAGGGTTATATTTTGCCCATTATAAGCAAGTTCTTGCTATATGATGGATAAACTAATTTGCAAAACAATGTTTAGTTACTACTTTTTCTTTTACATCAGTTACAAAAACGTGTCTTAGATTTAGGTCTGGAAACATAGATGAAGGTGAAAATATAAAGATTAATATGTTTCTATTCTTCCTTTCAGTGGATGACCTTGTTCCAGACATTAGCCTTGGTATAGATTTTCTTAGAAAAACGCAGGTAAGTGTTAACACATAGCATGCCAACCTTTATAACCCTTCGTACTGGACAGAGTTGGGTTCAGTTCTACAGTATAATGTTGGTCTGTTCGGCGGAGATGAAAATATCACGAGAAGGACTGGAGTATTATTTTAGATAAACTGTAGAACCAGTTATAAATATGATTTACCCCTCCCCCACACACATACAATTATTATTTTAAATGAACTGTAGAACCAGTTATAAATATGATTTACCCCTCCCCCCACACATACAATTATTATTTTAGATGAACTGTAGAACCAGTTATAAATATGAGTTACTCCTTCCCCCCACACACATACAATTATTATTTTAGATGAACTGTAGAACCAGTTATAAATATGAGTCACCCCTCCCCCCACACACATACAATTATTATTTTAGATGAACTGTAGAACCAGTTATAAATATGAGTTACTCCTTCCCCCCACACACATACAATTATTATTTTAGATGAACTGTGGAACCAGTTATAAATATGATTTACCCCTCACACATACATTTATTATTTTAGATGAACTATAGAACCAGTTATAGATATGAGTTACCCCCCCCCCCACCCCACACACACATCCAATTATTATTTTAGATGAACTGTAGAGCCAGTTATAAATATGATTTACCCCCCCCCCCACCCACACACACATACATTTTCTCGACTTGTTATGATCAGAATGTAACCTTCTCGATCTCTTATTCCTCGCATAGTTACTTTCGGAACAATTCGCTTTGGAAATGTACACCTATACGATTGTTCTTTAGAAACACTTTTAGTATAAAACGAACCCGAATAAATACTACGAATAAAGGTGAATTTTCAAATCACTCAAGTTCCTTGGGATATTAAATATTTCTTGGAAGCTGTGGTTCTGTTGACATGTCCAATACAGGTCTCTGGATGCTGTAGTTCTGTTTACATATCCCATAAGTCTTCAGATGCTGTGGTTCTGTTGACATATCTCATAAAAATATTTGGATACTTTGGTTCTGTTGACATATACCATAAGAGACTCTGGATGCTGTGTTTTGTTTGCCACGTCCCGCAAGAGACTCTGGGTGCTGTGGTTGTTGTTTTTTGCCACGTCCCGTAAGAGACTCTGGATGCTGTGTTTTTGTTGGCATGTGCCATAAGAAACTCTGGGTGCTATGGTTTTGTTTCCACGTACCGTAAGAGTCTCTGGATGCTATGGTTTTGTTTCCACGTCCCGTAAGAATCTCTGGGTGCTGTGGTTGTTGTTGTTTTTTTTTTGCCACGTCCCGTAAGAGACTCTGGATGCTGTGTTTTTGTTGGCATGTACCATAAGAAACTCTGGGTGCTATGGTTTTGTTTCCACGTCCTGTAAGAGTCTCTGGATGCTGTGATTCTGTTAACATATCCCATAAGGGCTTCTGGATACTGTGGCTGTCTGACTTAAAGTTTCATCTAGTGAAATTTAGTTTTAGCACATAGTTACTTACGAAAATAGACTATCTATTTCGTTGCAGATAAAACAAGATATTTACTCGAAAAATAGCAATAAAAGCTGTCCTATGTGTACGTACAATAAAATTTCAAATTATCTTATAGTAACTGTAACTATAGACATAAGAACTGAGACTGTTCCAATGACGAATTTGTATAAGTGGGTCTTTACTAACTGTTTGTTGGAGCCTGTAGCATAAGAGTATTGGTTGCCATAAAGAGAAATGTTGATAAATTCCCGATTGTCGTGCTCTTTTTCTTCGACTAATAAGGTTATAATTAGACACGATATATTTTACATTTATTTTTACAGTATTCTGTTTTACTAACTGAGTTTGTTTTTAATTAATCATTTAAAAACGTGAAATATTCTTAAAATTTCTTTTAGGCTATTGTGAACTTTGAAGATGCTTCCCTCAGGATAGGAGGCAAAGGAGGGGAAAGAGTTCCGTTTCTCACTACCAGGGATGTGATAATGCTGACACGAAAATCAAACAACTCACAATAATACTCCGTTAAAGAACTAATCAGAACAATAATTTATAATAATATTATTTGTTCATTCTCGTATATTTAGTGGTAACTCAAGTTTCTCACCGAGTGAACAGGATCTGTATTTGTCTTTTAAAACTATGATACTAATAACAGAACAGTTTACTTTTTATTAATTCAGTCAGCTTATCAACGCTCTTTTTTACTACATTATCTCAAAACATTCATGAGATTACCAGCTGACACTTTTCCTCTCTCTCTACATGTGGAGTATTATTCATGGTAATGTCTGTATGTGGCAACAGGTGGAGTTTTTCTGATGGTGATGTCTAGATGTGGTAACAGATGGAGTATTTTTGATGGTGATGTCTACTTGTGGTAACAGATGGAGTATTTTGATGATGTCTACATGTGGTAACAGATGCAGTATTTTTGATGGTAATGTATTAAAGTATTATTCATGGTAATGTCTGCATGTGGACACAGATGGAGTATGTTTGATGATGTCTACATATGGTAACAGATGGAGTATTTTTTATGGTAATATCTATGTGTGGTAACAGATGGGGTATTTTTGATTGTGATGTCTGCATGTGGTAACAGATGGGAGTATTTTTGACGGTGATGTCTACATGTGGTAACAGATGGAGTATTTTTGATGGTGATATCTATGTGTGGTAACAGATGGAGTATTTTTTATGGTAATGTCTGCATGTGGTAACAGATGGAGTATTTTTCATGGTAATGTCTGCATGTGGTAACAGTTGGAGTATTTTTCATGGTAATGTCGATTCCCCACTATTGAAGTCAACCAAAGTAACAAGCGGTATCTGTTTATTATTTATTAAATTTATTTATTTAAACCAAAAACTAATCCTTTTATTACTCGACCTTTAGGTTTTAAATATTTTTTCTTTTATTTAACCGTTTACAGTTTGATTGTGACGAAATGGTACCAATCGTTGTTACTATTACAAGCCTATAGGATCACCTATAGAATTTCAGACGCTCCGGTTGTTGTCATTTTTAGCGCAAAGCTGTACAGACCGCAATAAATTAAACCCCGAATTTTAGTGTTTTCAGTCCGTAACATTATCGCTGACCCATGGGGGTGGGGAGACACGACGTTCAGACAACCTGCATTCCAGAAATGTAAATTAAGTTTTGAATACGAGTTCTTTAATCTAAGTTTTGTGTGTGTGTTTGTGATAGAAATTTTGTCAGAGCTCCGGAATTATGAAATTTACCGTTGCACCACTATCTAAGTCTAGTTATTAATTATTTGCTAAAAATAACTAATAATTAGACTCAGGTGATAGCTTAGCTGTTAACCGTGACAGCGACTGATTTTTTTTTATTCACCACAGAGCTACAGCATTAATTATTCTCAATGCTAATTGTGATGACGTAATGTTCAAATACAGAAAACCGCGTAATAACTTGACATCTGAAGAAAGCTTGCTAAGTGAGTAAATCCCCAACTGCGTTTCCAACGTTTGTATCTGAATGAAATAAAGTGTATTCTTTTTATGTATCCAAAATATTAATAAGGAACATAGTGACCAGTAAGAATTTACAATCCATTTCAATTATTTAACAGAGAGGTTTTAATTAGTTTAGTAATGATGATTATCTCATTGTATAAAACTGTTTAATATGTGTTACACGTCAGTAACTTCTCTCACTGCACGCGACTTTCGTTTATATCAAATCTTGAAATGTGTATAAAAGGGAAATAAAACGTAGTTTGTGTTCTCACTACACGAGTTAGAAATTACAATGGATACCTGGTATTAAAATAAGTTACTCAAGGGGATATTTGTGCTCTGCTAACCACAGGCATCGAAACCAGATTTTTAGCGTCGTAAGCCTGCAGACTTATCGCTTAGCTAATGGGGAGGAGGGAGAAAAAAGAAATGATAATTTATAATAATAAATTAAAAAGCTATTGCTGCGTATGGTCGATGGATCGGATTTATTGTCTGTGCTACGAAACTTGGACTGCTCACTGAGAAACGTGCTGCAATGGGACTCCACAATGGGAAGGAGGAGAGTTCGTACCTTGACGGGTGCTAAACTTCTTTAGCGTGTAAATAGAAATAAGAATGTCTATGAGTTTACCTTGGTGGGGTGCAATCGTACACCTCGTGTTTGACTGGTCAAGGGAATGGATGTCACAGGAAAGATAAAAGGAGAACAGAGGTGCAAAATGTGAACCTCTCTTCCTGCTGCCCCCCCCCCACACACACAGTGGCTCAGCGGTAAGTCTGTACAGACGACGCTAAAACAAAGCACAGATAGATAGCTTGTGCTTAACAACAGCTAATATAAAAAGAAATATGTAGTTAACTACATGGGCGACAAAGATATCAAAATTAAATAATAGGTTAAACAATCGCCAATTTGTTTCTTTTAAATACTTATTTAAACTTCAAATAAAAAAAATATTTAAAAAACTTGGCGATTGTTTAAACTAGTCTTTAATTTTAAATCAGACTGTACTTCCCTGTGATCATAATTTTAAACCAGACTATACTTCCCTCTGATCATAATTTTAAATCAGACTGTACTTCCCTGTGATCATAATTTTAAACCAGACTATACTTCCCTCTGATCATAATTTTAAACCAGATTGTACTTCCCTGTGATCAAACTTTTACACCAGACTATA